TCTCTTTCCCTAATCTGGGGCTGTAACTTGCCTCTTGTGAGGAAACACTTTTTTAAAAGTGTGTAGCACTTTGGTAAATGTGCTTTGCCTGAGTTATTCAAAATGATGTTCTCCCTGTACCAGTCAAATGCTGCACCTTGACAGACTTCTTTGCCCATCACTTTGCAGGCTTTGCCTCCTCACAGCCTCCCTGGCTTCCTGAGACATGCATTTTATGGTCAGTGAGTTAAAATAGTGATAATCCCTAATTGTTACAGCAGTTCCTCCTCAGTGAGGGCAGAGAAATCAAAGTCTCTTTTAGGATAATGTGTGGACTGTGAGCCCTTGGTGTGGGACAAGGAAAGGGTGTTTGGCAGTGACCTTAAAAGGGGTTAAAACTGAGACTAGAACTAGACCCTTTTCAGCTTTGTGCACACTCTGCTTCCTCTCCAGTCTGAGAGAAGGACTTAATCCATAAAGCTTGATTTCTTTTTTTAATTTGTTGTAACTGAATCAATTTTCATTATTAGTGTTGCTTAACTTTTACCGTTTGTCACCACTGTGTAACTCTCCTAACGTTTAAGAAATAAAGCAGAATATAATGAAGTTTCCAGCTAAGGTTGGTTTTATTTCTTGCTCTTTGCAGATGCTATCTCAGCCATTAGCCAGCATTAGCTAATTCTTCCCAATAGCTGTGCAGCCTGTTTCATCTCAGAGCATCCCGAAGCGCTTTACAAAGTGCAGATTGGCTTCAGTAAATTATTCCAGTGACTCCCAATATCCTTTCCACATGGGGCATTATTATTTGACAGGAGAAACTGCAGCTCTCCAAAAGTGTTGGGTAAGGGGCGGATCCACAGCTGTAGGTGGAGGTCAAACCATCCATCAGAGGTGAAGGCTGGCAGCTCTTCCACAGGATTTCAGTTTGCAGCTCCAGAAGGGAAGATAACACATCCTGCTGGAATATGCATTTCCCTCCCAGCCCGAATTCCTCTCTGCCTTGCAGAACTGACACCTTGTGAAGTTCCTGCTGCACATTCTGCTCTTGGAGGGCTTCCACCCCCCCTGAGCGGTTTCCCAGCTGGCACCAGAGTTCTTCCAGGGACACTGATGGAAACAGCTTGTACTGCTGCCCGGGTGGACAGCGCAGGGACACAGGAATTTGAAGGATCAAAGCAGGATATGGAACTAAAAAGCGGGCAAAAAACTGCAAACTTCAGCAAACTGAGATTATTGACCGGCTTGTCCAGCTCTGGTGAAAGTATTAACTGCTCTCTTCCCTGGCTGGAAATCCCACTCCATCCAGTCTCCTGCCATTCCATAGCACCTCTTCCCTGGGGTGAATCACCATCCTAAATCCCCTCTCTGGTGCTGCTGTGGGGCTTTACTGGTCTCTGCTGGGTTATTGCTGGGGCATCTTGTCACTTTTCCCTGTCTCCAGGCAACGGGTCTGATTTTCCAGGAAAGCAGCTGGGAACAAGGAGGAGCTGGTTTAGCACCCACAGGGCCTGCTTTGCAGACCACTGAAATTAAATATTGTCATTGTCTCCCACTTGTCTGAAATGAAGTCCAGATTGTCCCCATTTCCTTTCTGCCTCCCAGTCTGAGCAGAGCCTTACTTGTAAGTCATTAACAGAACAAATTTCTGAGGGGAAGAATAAACACTGGGGACCTGAGAGAAGTAGGATAAAGACCTGAATAGACATTTCTAAGCCAAATAACACTCCTTTTCCACAGGTCTGTAGGTGGCCCTCGGCAGATGAGCTGCTCTGAAGACAATTGCTGTAGGGACTCTTCCTTTATTAAAGGAAGGGTGACTCTATTTTTTAAAAAAAAAGTGCTGCAGCTGCTAAGAAGAGGTTAGGAAACCCAGAGGAAAGAAAACAGAGTGGGTGCTGATAAGCAGGAGCTGGGATCAACCCAGTAAATTAACTTGTGAGGTGCAGATCCCATGGAATTGTTTGAAAACCAACACGAAAAGTCATCCTCAATCCTTCTCTTTTCCTCTCCCATGGGACCTGTGGGGCAAAACCCCTCCGTAGCACACATTCCTCAGTTAAGGGGGGTTTGGGAATGTCACTGCAAATGCCTCCTGTCGTTTCCCCCCGGGTTTTTTCGTGTTTAAATCCAGCGGCCAGGGAAGCCCCGGGGAGCTTTGCCCAGGAGGCTCCAGAGCTGCACTCAAAGGCTTTTGCTTCCCTCTAGTGTTTAATGGCTTTATTTCCTTGTCGGCTGCTGTGACTGAGTCCTGCCCGAGGTCCACTGCACAGAGAGGAAGAATAAACGGAGGGGAAAAAAAGAGCCTTGCAGATCTTTTGGACCAGAGCCAGAAGTGTGAAGTGCCTTGGATTGCATCCCCCTGCCACACCCCACCCTGGGAGCAGCCTGCAGCCTCTTTAGCACATCCCAAATACGTTGTTGCAGCGATATTTTCCCACTTCCCTTTCTGTTTTAGGATCATTTCCGTGTTCAGTTCACATTCTGCACCCGTGCTAATCCTGCCAACAGTCCTCCCAGGGAAAGGTGATTCTGTTCTTTTACAAGTGAATTCTTGCAGGTGGATGAAAAATACCCCTGGAATCGCCAAGTGGGTGCCCAGAGCGTTGGTTTCTCCTTTTGTCACCTCCCTGTGCACAAACCCTGATTTGCTGAGCACCCAGAGCGTGATGAGCCCTCAGAATTCCCTGAGACAAGCAACAACCGTTGCTATAATTCAAAGGATGGCTTTTTAAAAGGCCTTGCTTATTCCCTGTGTGGTACCCAAGTGCACTGCTGCATAAATGAAGAAAAGGGTGAGCAGCTTTTATGCCTCGGGACACTCTCAGCTCCCTGCAGGGGCCAGCAAGACTATTTCCTCTATCACAGAGAGCACAGCACTATTAGCAAGGGATTTTGTGCCTCATATTTATTTTTTGCTGAAGTGTTCAGGCCTGAACTCTGCAAGAAACGAGATATTAGCCCTGATGGACCAGTGGTGTCTCCTGCATTCCTGTGTCCTCTCTTTAATTGGATTAGCTTGTGCTTTGACTGCAACATGAAAGTGGGTTTTCTCCTCTCTTCTGTGCTTTATGGGGACACAGAAAGCTTTTTGTGAGTCACAGATCCAGTCTTATCATGCCCAGTTCCAAGGTAGTCATCTGACAATTATACAAGTCGTTATATTTTCAGTTGTCGAGAGTGAAAGCGAAGCTCAGGGAGCAGGAGCAGACTTTGCAGCTTCAGTCTTTGTGTGGGCACCACCTGGGCCTCTGAGCAACTCAGGAGCTCGTTAAGTACCAGCTGAAGAGACCAAAGGGCTGGGTGTTAATATTTTGCCTGAGTCTCACTCTGCAAAATAAAGGTCAGCACCTCGGAAGATACAGTTTGTACCAGAGTTATTCCTGCCAAAAGGGAGCCTTCCAGTCCTTGCCCAGAGTTTCTCGAGGGTGGTGGAATTCGGGGGCTGATGGAGCACTTTTCTACACCAAGGTGCTTGCAGAGCCCTAACTCGTGTCTGCACTCGTGGGGCTGAAAGCTGAGCACATATTTTCACAGAAATCTTCAGGGCTCTCAGAATGCCAAAATTAAAAAGGTGAGTAACGACCAACCATCCTGGGAAGTTTTTTATACACATAGAAACAACTCTTGAAAATTACTCTTTGGAATGCACTAAATTGGTCATTCCTGGCTTAAACCAGCACCAGATCACTAATTACAGGACGAGGACTAAGGCCATACCTTTACCTTGCTGTTTATCTCATTTGGTGGTCACACAAGCATTCCCATTTAGCAGTGAGGAGTGGTAGGAACATCAGCTGGAGAACCTCAGTGGCTGTGATTTTGTAATTCCTTCACTATAGCAGAAATGGCAGCAGGCAGGTGATGATGTTTTGGTTTCTCGGGGTTGTTAAACCTTGCTGAGTTGTGGATTATCCAGTGCCATTGGTAAAGAAGTTCCCAGTCAGGATCTGGGACCTGGTAACTTTCAGAAAATTGAAAATAATAAATAGCAATAATGTTTACAAACCTTCTGGCAGCCACTAACACAGTTGGCTCCTCTGTTTTGTGCTGGTAGGAAAATCATTCCAGTGCCACAGGTAATTCAGTCACTGAGCTGTGATTTACCCCTTCACAGAGAGCAGCTGAACACTCTGAGAAGTGAATGTCCCCCTCCTTTGAAAGGGTAGAAGAGAGAACATCATTAGCTTGGGACTTACCTGAAGAAGGATTTTTTTAAATGAACAAAAGATTCCTCGAGACCTAAGGTCTGAAATGTTCATTTTCTGGTTGCCATCTTTTGGGGATTTCTAGAAATATAAAGGTGAACTCTTTCTTCCCAAATTCATCACCTGCAAAGCAGGGCACTGTGATTCTGTGATCCAGTCCCTGTTCCTTCACCATCCCTGTTCCATTCCCCTTCTCCATCCCCTTCCCTGTCCTGTCCCTTTCCCCTCCCATCCCATCCCATCCCCATTCCCTTCTCTTTCCCCATCCCATCCCCTTCTCCTCCCTTTCCTCCTTCCCCGTCCCATCCCTGTTCCCATTCCAAACCCTTCCCCTCCCCTTCTCTTTCCCCCTCCCCGTCCCGACCCTGCTCCCATCCCTGTCCCCTTCTCCTCCTTCCTTCCTCTCCTATCTCCTTCCCGTTCCTCATCTCCACGTCTTTGCCTTTCCCATTCCCATCCTCATCCCTTTTCCCTTCTCCATGCCCATCCCTGTCCCCTTTCTCCTCCACCCCGTCCTCCTCCTTCTCCTTCCCTTTCCCACCCTCATCCGTATCCCCATCCCATCCCATCCCTCCTCCGCGGTGCGGGCGGGCGCGGTGCGGGCGGAGGGCGCACCGGAGGGGGTGAGTTCTCCCTCGCACCCCCCGTACCCGCACCCCGGGACCCTGCACCCCGGCCCCACCCCCGGCCCCGCACCCCCGGCCCACTGGCCCGCACCCCGGCCGGGCCGGGCCGGGCTCCGCTGGCAGCCGGCGGGGCGGCCGCAGGAGGATGCGGGCGGGGCGGGCGGCGCTGCCGTTCCCGGGTCGGGCAGCTAGAGAGCAGTGCAGGGAGCGGAATCCCGGGAGCCGGGAGCTCCCTTCCTGTCGGGAAGGCCGTGAGCGGAGCCGAGCGCCGGCCGAGAGGCCCCGGGCCGGCCGCCCCCGCTCCCCTCGCCCATGGCGGAGACCAAGATCATCTACCACATCGACGAGGAGGAGACGCCCTACCTGGTGAAGCTGCCGGTGCCGCCGGAGAAAGTCACGCTGGCCGATTTCAAAAATGTCCTCAGCAACCGGCCCGTGCACAGCTACAAGTTCTTCTTCAAGTCCATGGACCAGGATTTCGGGTGAGCGGCCGCGCTGCCGGCGCATCCCGGAGCCCCCCGCGGCGCCGGCGGAGCGCTCGGAGCATCCCCGGGGCACCTGCCGGGCTCGGCCCCGCTCGGCCCCGGCCCCGCTCGGCCCGGCTCGGCCCCGGGAGCCACCGCCGCGAACATGGCGGGCGCGCCCGGCCGTGCCCGGAGCGGGGTCGGCGCTGCCGCCATCCCGCCCCGGAGCCGCCCGGGGCACCCCCGGGAGCCGCCGGAGAGCCCGGCACAGCCCCCCGAGCCCGCCCGGCGCTGTCCCCGCTGCCTCCGGGCCGGGCCGGGGCGATCCGCGGCTGTCACCGCAACCGGGAGAGGCCGCGGGAGCGCCCGGGCATCGCGGGCACGGCGGGCATCGGCGCGGCTGGGGAGAGACCGGCGGGTCCGCGGGCTGTCACATCCTCGGGGGTCACACAGATGGCCAGTGGTCAAAAGGGCTGCAGGGGCTGCGCTCAGACAGCGGCTGCAAACCCTCGGGGGTCAGGGGGGTGACAGGCGGTCCCCGGTCACACGGGTGACAAGTGGCACCGGCGGCCAAACGGGGGTGGAATGGTCGGTGGTCACACGGTGCCGGAGGGCTGTGCTCAGACGGCGGCTGAAAATCCCTGGGGGTCAAACGGGTGTCAGATCCTCGGTGGTCAAACGGGTGATGGGGCTGGTCAAACAGGTATCAGATGGTCAGTGGCCAAACAGGTGACAAGCGGTCAGGAGTCAGGCAGGTGTGGGAAGGGTTGGCTGGTGGTGAAACGGGTGACGAGAGGTCAGTGGTCAAACAGCTGTCAAGTCCTTGGGGGCCAAAGGGGTGTCAAATGGTCCCTCGCCTGGTCGAACTGGTATGGAATGGTCAGTGCTCAAATGGGTGCGAAGTGGTCAGTGGTCAAACTGGTATGAAATGGTCAGTGGCCAAAGGGGCTGTGCTCAGATGGCAGCTGTCACATCCTCGGTGGTCACACGGGTGTCACATCCTTGGGGGTCAAACAGGTATGAAATGCTCAGTGGCCAAACAGGTGACACAAGTGGCCAGTGGTCAGATGTCCACTTGCAAGGGCACAAGCCTTGCTCGCCACTGCCCACGCATTCCTTGTCCTGGGAATGCTGGAGGAGACAAGGGCCAGACTTTCAAAGGCCCTCTGTGGTGGTGCAGGCCAGGGCTGTGAGCAGAGCCAGGGGATATCTGCCATCCTTCTGGTCCCTGCACACCCATGTGGGTTGTGTGCCACCGGGCTTATCGACAGCCATAATAAAATAAACCAATAAAAGTGCCTTTGACAGGTTGCCAGACAGTAACTTTCAAAATGTATTAATCCTTTTGTAGCAAATCACTTCCCTTTGTACTCACATCTGTCGCTGGTGAGGCAATTTTGCACAGTTAAATGCCTTGCCAGGAAAAATAAAAATAAAAATAAAGGGGAGCAGGTTTGTGGGAAACTAATACGGACCTGACTCCAGAATAACGCCGTGGTTGGGGTGCAGGTTTCATGTTTGGTGGGATAGATCATCCCAAGCATGCTTTTATATGTTGTGCAGCCCCTTTCTTACCCGTGAGACCCGGAACCTTTCACGTTGATTGTGTTTTTATCCCCTGGTGGAATGTGGGTATTGTTTGTTGACACGTCTTCCTTATGTGGGGAGCTGTTAGTATTGGCCCATTACCACAGGAGGTGGGTTGACTTTTTTTTTTGTTTGTTTCTTCTGAGTCGTGAAAACATTTTTTTTTTGGGGGGGGGGGAGGAAACAACTACATGGAATGTTTGTTTTCAAAATAACGTCTTTGAAATCGTCTGCCTGTAAATTTCTCTCCTTCACCCCCGAGTGACAGGGACGTGCAAACCCTCGTCTTGGAGCTGATGGAAGGCGAAGGGCTGCACTTGGGGGATGACCTGGGCATGTAAATTCTGTCTCATTTAAATAACACTCTCAAATGCAGCTACTGAAAGCATTTGGGTGACGATCCCTTGCCTTGAGACAGCTCTGGGTAGCTCTGTAGATGGGACTCTTGGAAGCCACGAAGCTGACAGATTTTTGTTTGCTTTTGGTTTGTGTGTCTCGTTCCTTGTGTGTTTGTTCCTCTCTGAATCCTAAATACTTAAAAAAAATAGGCAATCAAAAGAAAAACTGGAAGAAAACTTGGGTGAATTTCGGTTGTCTTAGTAAACATTAATAGTAAACATGGGTTTGTTTGTTTGTTTTCACCAATTTGTCTGCAAACTGGCTTTTTTTAGAATATCCTGAGCTGGGAGGGACCCACAAGGATCGTCCAGTCTCCTTGTGTTAGGAGAGCAAATGTTTTCCTGGAGAATTGGAGCCTCCTTGAGAAGCCACTGATCGGGAACTGACTTTGCAATTCTGCACATGTTGTTGTAATTAAGGCACGGCCTTTTCCTGGATCCTGAAATAATGGAATAAATAATTGTGCTCAGAAGCAGTGGATGTGTTGAATGGTTTCCAGCCGTGAAAGACAGAGTTATTAAGGGTTGGAACAGAGCTGGGTTGGGGATGTGGAGCTGTGTCAAGGATGTCTTATGGAACTGAGCAGTCCTGTGTTCTGTGTACCTGTGCTGAGTCCAGCTCTGCTGCTTGGAAGCTGCAGGAAAAGGTGTAGGAATGTTGTGTTTCCTTCTGAACTTTGGTTACAGTTTAATTTACTGCCTCACCCCTTTTCCCCCGTGCCAGTTCATTCCCAAGGGTGACTTCTTCCCCAGCTCATGGTGGGATGGCCCTGCCTTTATTCTGCAAGCTGGGGCTTTCCTGCTGACTCCATCTGTAGACACGATGCTGTTTCTGTGATGCAGGATGTCCAACTGTGCCCTGACATTAAGACTCAACCCTTGGAAGTGCTTTGTAGCTTCTATTTTTATTCTGCTTGGTGGGAAATTAAGCAGGGGCATTGCAGGCTCAGAGTCGTTAATGTGACAGTATCTACCAGCAGTGAAATTTAGAAAAGGTGATGTTTGTGGTGTGGTTTTTATAGACAAGGAGCTGTGTCACCAGCTGATTTAGTTACTTACAGCCACTGGTTCTTTCCTCAGGGGTCACTTCCCATCACTGAGAGTGCTGATCGTAAGGTTAGAGCCACACAAGAACACACAATGCAGTTCCATTACTTCTGTGATGATTGAAAAATGACAACTAATGAATCCATCTAAAAATAAAGCTTCAGTTTGTGATGTCTGGGCTCTCATGACTGAAATTGTGACAGCTGTGTGGGATCCAAATGATTCATAATGAATCTGTGTGACAGATCCTACAAGAGGAGTTCCTATCTGTCTGCTTTTAAATATTTGATACTTCCAGAGCTTTGCTTGTAAAACACTACCATTAACTTCCAGAAATACGAAATTATGAATGTGCATGATCCAGGCATTGCTGTAAGTTATGTGTTTTAATTTTGCTGTGTAATAACCTCCTCTGAGGCTTGGTGCTGCTGTTTCAGCTCTGGTCCAGATGCTGTGACAGGATTAGGGCAGGAGAGGTTCAGAGGAAGAGCTGAACCATCTGAAATACGTGGGGTTTCAAAAAAAAACCTGATAAATATTCCCTCCCTGCATTGCTGTGGTTCCTTTGCTCTGCTCAGTCACCCTGTCCTGGGCTGTGCAATCTCTGCCCGTGGAATTCCAGAGTGTGTCTGTCCTGCCATCCTTCTGGGTGAGGTTCAACTCCTCATTCTTTCCATTGTGTGAACTAATACTCCTTTGATTATACTTCTTTAGGGAGTACTCTGAGGAGTGGCTTTTGGAGCATTCCTTTGGTATCAGCAAAAGAGCTTCCTTTCAGACTGCACTTTTAGGTGCAGCTGTTTCTGCACAGAAATTTTGGGTTTTCCTTGTGCCTTTTCTCATGGGGGGAAAGCACCACCTCTGTTTTCACCCTTGCCCCAAGAGGAGTCATAACTGAGAAAGAGGAGTCCTAATTGACAGGTATCTGTAGCTTCAGAATAATTTCATAATTGGGAAAGCTTTTAGAGACAAGATATTTAAAAAAAAAAAATCCACAAGGTATTTTTTATGGGGAGAAGTGAAAACAGGAGTTGGTCATAAATCCATGAGGCTTAGACAGTTGTGGGACTGGATGATCTTTCAGGGCCCTTCCAACCCTGGCCATTCTATGATTCAGTGCTGTTTAAAGTGTCATTTGGACACTGGGCATATATAATTTGGAAAACAGTGAATTTGTGTGTTATATCCGCAGAATTCCACACTCACTGAAAGAAAGCTGCTGTAAAAATCCAGCAAGGAAAGGAACATTGGACGAAAACCTGGAAGCCTCATTCCTGCCTGGTTCTCTGTTATCAGTTGCCACAGGGGTCTAAATTCAAGAGGAAGTTTTTGGGCTTGAGTTCTGTGCTTGGGAAAACTGTTTGCAAGCTTCATTCAGGGATATGCAGCAGGCTGGCCAAAAGGGCTTGCAGGTAGGGTTCATCCTTTTAGGTGGACTCTGCTGTGCTCTGGGTTAGTGAGAGCACAGATTTGGGCTGGGTGGTTTTTTTTTTGGGTGGTTACTGCACCACGGATTTTAATGAGGTATTTTTTTTTGCTGGTGTTTTTAAGGAGATCCTCTCAAGACTAAAGAGCCACATGAAAGGATGCCAACCACCATCCTTGTTTGAACACTGAGCAAGCAGGTGACAGAGGCTGATATAGGGCAGTTGCAGGTAGGAGTCTGTCTTTTTTGAACCAGAAATAAAATGAAGGCAAGTGCTTCTTATTTGCATTAGAAAACATGGAGCTGGCAGGCCAATGTGCAGAGAGGGGGCATGTGCTAAAAATAACAGCTCAGGAAAATGATCTTTGCAGCTCCGTGACAGGGATTGATGCCCACAGAGAGAGGCTGTGGCGGATCAGAACCAGGCAAGGGGGATGTTGAGGCGACTCAGAGCTCTGGCAAGGAATTTCTGCTGTGTGAATGGAAAGCTTCAGGAAGGCTGCACAGAGTGTAAGAGCTAAATGGAGGTGGGATGTGAGAGCAGCCAGAGGATTCAGGGT